TTTTTTTTTTGTCTTATTCCGAATTTATTATCAATGCTGGTGTTACCATAGAGGTTAAACGTGCTGAAGTACTAAAAAAAGAATAATTAAACAATTGTACTCTTGTCAATAATCTCAAAAAATAGAACAAAAATAAACTGTGAGTTAGGAAAGCTTGACTTGCTGAAGTCGTAACTTCGCAAGAAAAGTTAACGGGTGTCTCGCGTAAGTTGCCGTTAGTGTTTCAGGTTGGATCTAGGAGTACCTGTTAAAATACTACACGTGAAATACTGTTATTAGAGTCACGGTCTGCTTTCTAGGATAAACCAGCTATCTAGTGTAAAGGTAAAAAGCTTTTTTTGATTTTATATAATCCACATTTGTACCTGCGCGATAGAAAAAATTTGTTGGTTTATCAGGCATTATATTATGGCAGTTATAATAATTTGCACTAGGCATTTTCAAAAGGTCAAATTATTCTTTATTCTAGGGTGACTTCAATTCATTTTCGTTTTGGTTAACCTCAGTTTGTCTCACTTTGCAAACGCAATAATTTATTAAAGAAAAGAAGTGAGAAACTGATCTCTTTTAATGTAAAAAGTACACTTTTTATACAATCAGCTTCACCGTGTTTAGTTTTTTTCTGTACTATTTTTCTGTTTTCCAGAATCATTGTTTGAATCATTAAAAACGTTATCATCATGATAGCCGTGAAAATCATATTTACTTCTGTGTCATATTTGAATGATTAACGTTCTCGATATTTTCATCTCTCATGAAGTTGGTAAAATTTCAATAAAATAATCACACAAGAAGAATTCAAATACCAGAATCCACAAGACGTTATCAAAACACTGTGGCTTCAGACAATTTGAGCAATCTTGTCAATAAAGTAAGTAGTCACTAAGCATTCATTAAGAGTCTCATTACAACGCAAGCAGTATAGTCAATCCAATTATATTGTTTTTTAGAACAGGGAAAACTTAGTTGCTTAATATATTATTTGTTTCGCTTACTTATCTTTCGTATAGCTGTTAACTTAATGGTTGTTCTACAAAGAGTTGACTTAATACTTTCATGTAACCGCCTATTTTTACAAAAATTTTAAAAAACAAAAAGATTAGAGATACCAAAAATTAGCAGCTTCAAACCAGCCTCAAGTATTTTCGTGGAAAAAAATGGTACAAAGGGCATGAATAGAATTCCACGTCTGAATCAGACTTGTTTGTTTATTTTCAATTGAAAGTTTGAAAACATCGTTAAAAGGTCATATCGCAGAATAATTCAGCAGTAATCCTTTTTAATTTACTACGGTTGCTTTTGAAATTTTCGATAGCTTGTATTTGAAACGAGACAAGAAAATGTCTCTATTTTAATCAAAACATTGAAAAATTTTTGCTTACTGCCCACGCCTTTTGAAAAGTTTGTTGACAAAACTTTAACTATTGCACTGGTACAGCACAACTTTTGACTAAGCTGATAAAACAAACTTATAAAAACCTTTGTGAATCTCATTTGGCATTCATTTAATCCTGCATCAAAACCACATTACCTTTTCTTTATTTTTTTTTTTGAAGCCAAATGTTAGTTTTAAGTATATAAAATAATTCTTTTTATTTTGTCTTATTATACTTTCAGTCAGTTTAAGTTTAGTCTTAAAAATACGGTAAGCACAAACATACTTCTAAGGTGTATCTTAAGAAGCGCAACGATTCATGAATAAGTGAATTCCTCTGATCTATGTACACTTGTTTTCAACTTCAATCAGATGCTAAAAATCTGATTTTTTTTCAAAATGCAAAAATTTCAGCTTTTTAATAGGCAGCTGTAAGTGCCAGTCACAGTTTCGTTGCAGTTTATTTCAAAAAGTTCCTTAGAGAAGAATATTACATCGAGAAGTTATAAAACCTTGACAAGCTGGAATCAAAATTTAACATTTAGATTGTAATAAATGAAAATATTACAAGTTCTAATAGTTGCCAATTTCCTTGTTTTGGCGGTATTCACAACTGCGCCAGCGAATGTCCTCGAAGATTGTACAGCACAAACTCCTGCAGCCAACGCAGGTTGCACCTCCTTGTTCCCTACCCCAGCTACTGATTGCACAACTAAGGATCAAGCAGTTACCAAGGTATGCTAAAAAACTGTTTTCAAAAAGTTCTCAAACTGCGATATAAAAAATTTCAATGTTTAAGAAGCCGGCTGAGTCTAATAGAGTGGTTTCGCTTTTAGAAAATA